AAAAAATTTCAAAATTGGAAACCTTTTTTTCAAAATCTATGCTTCTCTTTTATTATATGAATGCTTAAACTTATACATGTGACTCAATAGGCTCCTAGATATGTTAACAACGTATTAAGAATAAAAGACACATTTTTTCCTCTTGATACACAAGTTAAGATTGGCTTCTAGTAAGGTATCATGACTATTCAATTCTCTAAGAGGATTAATTAATCCATAATTACCTTTTATGAGCATGGTTACCACACAATTCGAGTCCTTATGTCAATTTATCACAATGTGATCTTGAACTTGATTATTAATTTATTCGATTTTGATCACACAAGTTTTCTTCGATTCCTAAATGTCTTAACTCTTAAAGTAACCTAACTATGCTTTATTGGTGTACTCCTACCGTGGCCACAGATTCCTTGAGCGGACATTTATCGAAGTGTAATGTGATAACTCCTTTAGCATATAAGGAATGACATGTCCTATTTTAGTCATCCACCTATCTTCATTAGATTCCTGGTGTATCCAATGAATCGCTTATGTGTAACCCTTTACTCCATCCATCAAAACAAGTTTCAAAGTATATAAATCCTCTAATGAGATAACGAGTGATGACTTCAAGTCAAAAGACTAGTTGTACCTATCTCGTATGAGATTTTCATAAACTAAACCAAGTGTGTTCTCATGGCGAATCAAGTTCATTGGTAAGTTCTCTAACATAAATCACCTAAGTGCTTGCTTTGGCATCACCATGTCAATAGGTGTGAGATCTCCTACTCGTTATCTTATAGCATGATCATAGCACTCACAAGTCTAACTCGCATATAGTCAATGTCCATTCTTAATAATGCTACAACTTGAAACATTTAATGATATCATTTAAGTGCATTAATGTTTGTATCACATCTTTCAATCAATCATTAATGCAATGCATATCATATAGACTACTATCTAATTCTAATAAATAAACCTAAACAATAAGAATTAATAGAAAGACTTCTTTTATTATTAATAAAATAAATAATGTAATGTTATAATAACTCAAACCATCCAATTAAGGTTGGATCTTGAGCGCGCACACACACACACACACACACACATATATATTGGTAATTCAAAAATTGGTCATCCTTCAACTATTTTAATGGGTACGAATTAGTCTTAAAAACAAAGGTTTCAAATTACCCACATTCTTAAAATGGAGAAGTAGGAATAAATCTTGTGGTGGTCAAAAAGAGACATATGAAGCGAGATTTGAACCTTAATCTTTTTGTTTGGAAATCCAAATCTCTTACCACCGAGTCATTCCTTATGGTTGACAAAAATATTTATAATTATCAAATGTCTATGTTTTTTTAAAAAATAAAGTGAATCTCAATAAACATTAATTATAAACACTATTGTCATTGCATTGATAATGCCGCCTCTATTCTTAAAAATGTTAAAGATATGTGATGTATATAAGCAATTGTGTAAAAAAAATTTGGGTATAATTGTTTCTAAAAAGTAGGCACGTTAGTGTGTGTATATATAGTTATAGATAGGCTCATTGTACCATAAAAGAATGAACTATACACTTTTTAATATTTATGACACGTTCTTTCAAAAATATATGAAAAATACATATATAAATTCATAATCTTGGATATCAAATAGAATTATTTCGATAATAATTTTAGCACGAGAGCCATTTTCTATCCAAGATTTCGAGTTGATTTGATGTGGCATGACACATAAGATGACACCTTGGATGAAAATCCACGTAGGATGGCACATGACCAAAAATTAAAATTTCCTTCTAAAGGACGACATGTCACTCATTAATTCTATTTGATTTCAAAAACAAATTCCTCACAATAGAAACCTAAATCAATTCATAAAAATTCATAATCTTCTTCTTATTATGTAGTATGATTTTATGTTTTAATTTTATTTAAATAAATAATTATTATCTTTCATATATGCTAATTTAGATTATTTGGACTAGAGGAAGGATTATGGAGTCCATAACACAATTTTTTTAACTTATTTAAATTATTTTGAAAATTTTGAAAAAATAAAAAGAAAATATAAAAATTTTGATTTTAACCGAAAAAAAAAAATTTTGATTTCAAAAACCGAAAAAAGAAATAGTAATTCAGTTTACTGTTTTTTTTTTTTTTTTTGGATTCAGTTAATAAAGAACCGAACCGAAATACTAAAAGCTAAACCAAGCAATCGAATGTTCATCTCTAGTGAACTAACTCTCCTCCCAGGATGAGGTTGTCTACAGTGGTATATATGTTGTTATGAGTGCTAGCCCCAAATCATATGATTCATTATGGTGGTTGGAAGAACTATAGCTGTAGTTTATAAAGAGGTCCAATGAAGCTGCTAGTAGTGGGAAAACATCCTTTCGAAGTATGCAATAATCTGACGAACGAAATGGAGATAGGATTGAATTAAAAGGACAGTGTTCTCAAATTAAGTCAAACAATTATGGGACCAATACATTAATTTCGTTAATTTCTACGTAAAAGTTTCCGCCTTACCAAAATTAAATGGGAGTCATTATTTCTTATCACTCAACCTATTGGTGTTTTTTAGGAGAAAGAGATGTGATCATAAACATGTGGTCCGTTTTAGATTAGATCAATCACTTTCTTGTCTCAAAATGGAGTCAACTTTGTAGCTGCTATGAAATTGAGACTTTCTTTTTTCTCCAAAATAAAAAGTAATCGCGTTAGGCAAATGTACGTTATTACTTAATTTGTAGCTTCGTATGATTTTCACGATTGTTGCAATTGTGCTCTCACTTTATGGTTTTGTGCCAAATATCGGATGCGATCATGATTTGGTTTATACTATACAGTCATGATTTGGCGTTTTGAATCAGATTGGTCATGTACAAGTTTTTATCGAAGTTAGAGTTCAAGTAACCAACATATTTCATTTAGTCAAGTATCTATTTAAGATTTATGGTCTTATTCATAGGTTTTAGTTTTCTTGTATTATTCTAATATTATTAAATTATCTGATTAGGGTTTCTCTATTAGAAATTGATTTAGAAGTCAGTTTACATTGATTATTTGATTGTGAAATAATTATCTGATTCCTTAAAGATTAAATTCTAAGTAATATCTCTGAAAAAGTGAAGGAAGAATTAATTTATCAACAACATTAACCAGCTTCCCACTCCCATGAACTAATTAATTAATTTTTATAGTTGACTATTTTTTTCTTTTCTACAGAATTTATCTGTCCTATTAATTGTTGATGCACATGGCATATCCCAATCACATTCATAATGTTGAAAATGATCATAATCTTACTTTTAGTGTTAATAATATTAAAATTTTCAAAGCATCACTTAATTCAAAATTTTAAGTTATTAGATGAAAGGACATGTGTAATATTTGATTTAAATAGAAAACTGAATCATCATATGCATATAATTCAATTCAATTGGTGGTCCAGCAGTACGTACAATTTTAATTTCAAACTGGTTTGAAAATTCAATTAACAATAATAATTAAAAAAAAAAACCTCTACTTTTTATTTTGTTTTAAATTTTTCAAATTAAAAAAAAATATAGTTTAAAAAATTTTACTTGAAAAATAAAAATTGAAAAACAAAACCAAAATATTTAGTTTTACACAAGTTTAGTTGAACTGAAAATTAAGTAAACAAATCGATGTTCAGATTCAAATAAAGTTCAAAAACAATTTTATTACATAGATCGATATATAAAGTTAGTTCAAACTTGAAATCTTTTGAGAGCAAAAGGATGCGTGTCTCAGATGAGCTACAAGGTTATTAGTAATAAAATTGTTAAACAAACACAAATTGATTGTCCGTAAGTGCATTAATTGTGTGCCATCGTTCATAGGTTCATTCTGATTACGACCTTCGACTACTCCTGCTCTGTATTTGTTTTTTCAAAGCTAATATTATTGCCTGGCTCTGGGTCCTCGCCTTTGCAGTTAGGTCTCACCCCACCCATTGAATGTTTTGTTCCACGGCTTTGTCACGTTGGTTCTGATGTGCACATTTCATCGAACTGAAGCTGTGGACGATATGCACTAGGAAGCATCCACAACATCCACGTTCCTGCAAATTCTTTTGCATGGAAGGAACAGTTGGCCAGGTTAAAAACTGCCGCTATCATGACCTTTGTCCTTTTATCCAGAACAGTTGAATGTCTAAATCTGATCATTGATGATGAAAGAACATCTTATTAATTCTAAATGACGAAAGTATCTTCATAATTCGATTAACTCATTGTGTATTATATATGACACTGCATCTGAAATTTTAGTGCATGCTTGAAAGCAACAGCAAACAGAGCAAGATGCACAACAGCAATGTCCAACCAAATATATGATTTCACTCATCATCCAATATTTATATGCAGAAGAAAAAGGTTTCAATCAAAAACTAGCATAGAAATTTTAAATTCCAAATTTAAATTACAATCACATAAAGAGGAGAAGCCATTATTAGATAATTGAAACTGCAATGTCACAGCATGGATTAAACAAACATGCACGCAACTTGCAAGGAACTCAGTTCTGATTCTTAATGTATGGTTATGAGCTTAAGGCAAGCAACACCAGAGAAAGACTAGCTTACAAACTACAGTGAAATTTAAAAAACATGTTCCAATTTACTCAGCATTTTGGCCCTTTATTTTGCTAAAAAATTATCAATGATAATATTACTGACAAGTTTTGATGATCTAATACAAGGCACATTCAAAAAGGCCAATAGCTTCTTCTTCTTCGTCTTCTTCTTCTTCTTTTTTTTTTTTCCCCTGATATGTAGAATTTCTATGGTGTCTTTCAAAATGCAATAACCGTCAATTTGATAAGTGATCAGCGGCAGCATGCAATTCCAGACTAAATGCCTAGATAACAAGAAGGGCTCTGCTTGCATTCATCAACTATAGCAGAAAAAAGAGCTCCAAACATATAATGACTCAGAGTTGAATTCAGTGAGCTAAAAAACTACGAACGTTTAAATTTATGACCTCAAGATTTTTCACTATCCTTGTCTGTGAGGGCAATTTCTCCAATATTCATCTCATCATTGCCTGCAAGTAAAGCATCTTCGACGCCAACCATTGTGTCCTCATGCCCAAATTGCATACCCATGTTTTCTTGTTCAGAACTATTCTCAATCAAACCACAATCCTCCAAGTCCGATAAATCGTCAAATGTTAAAATCTTCTTCTTCTTCCCTCTGTAACCAACAAGACTCAAGAGTTTCTCCTTCCAAACAACCAGAGGACCTTTCCCAATCAGTTCTTGACCTTCATAAGCTTCAGTCAAAAATACACTAAATCTCTTACCCCTCTCAGACACATAGAAAATCCCCATATGCTTTAAAAGAAGTCTCATCAACTTCTGCGGCATCACCAATTCCTGTCGAAAATGCGTAAGGTGATCAGTCACCAGTCTCTTCTCAAGGGTAAAGCTAAGCAACTCATGCATAACGGAAACAGCCCTCTTATCAAACTCTAATGACCCAGCAGTAAGTCCCTTAGCATCTGCATATGGTGATAAATAAAACCTTTTCTGAAAGTGATCGATTTTCTCTCGATGTCTGTACACCTTCTTGTAATTAGAAGGAAATTTCAAAGGAAACGACAATGAAAGCATTCCTGGCTGCTGATTACTGCTTTCATGCACCCCTAATACGTTCTTCTCTAATTCTGTGATAGCCCAATCAGGATTCCAAGACACAAGTTCCAAATAACTGACTTCATCTGCAAACTTAACAACTTTAAACAGTTCTGGATACCTATGCACCCATTTATCCCTAAAATCAAGAGGCAAACCAAAATCTCTCCTAAAATTTGCTATCTTATCCAACCGAAGCCGCCTATCAACAGACATCATTAAACATCTAGTCACATATTCTGCGACCTTGTCTGAGTTTTCCTCAATTAATCTTCCCTCTTCTTCTACTAAATCCTCCGCTTCTTTTGTCATTCCACACCATAACACTCCCCTCCGATCCTTATACAATTCAAAAAGCTTTGGCGATTTCCGAAGAAAGTCTGAAATTTTATGGGGTTTAGGTAGATTGATTTTAGCCCTGTATCGTTCAAGGTTCCTCACTGGGATTATAAACTCTGGCTCCTCCTTTAAAATCTCCATCACTGCCATCACTTTTGATACTATTTTCCATTTCTCTGTTACTATTTCAAGATCATGCACCCTTTTTGTCTTGCTTCTATCCTGCACTCGCTTACTTGTGGTCATCAATCTACTCTGCAACCGACCCAACAAAGTTTCTCTTTGCCAGTTTCTTCTGACAGGCAAATAAACAAACACTTGCGACTCATTAAATTTACTGATCAAAATCGAAGTTCTAACCATTCGGGTAACCATTATTTAATGGTACAGTTAGCTTCTATGTACTGATAATGTATTAATTGCAACAAGTGAAACGAGAGAGAGAGAGAAAAAAGGTGGTAATCTTGTCTCGAAAAAAAAGAAGAAAAATGTGAGAGATGCAAAAATGTAAAGAACGTAATTTAATGAATTGTGTTTGTGGGAATTTCAATGCGAGAACTGGTTTCTAACTCGAAAAGAAGCAAGAAAAATTACGACAGCTCTCATTGTTAATTTGTTGCAATTTTCAAGAGAGAGAGACGAATAAACAAGAGAAAACAAGGAGAAAGACCCAAACACAAGACCAAAATTTCCCTCCCCTAAACAAACACTTTTCAAAATAGGATTAGCTTCCACAACCCAAAGCATGCCATGGCAAATTTTAAAATAGATCCATGGGCCATAGGTTAATCTCTGCATCCATTCCAGCCCAATAGAAAAGCGATTAAGCAAAACAATTGTTTCTGCCCTAATAATGAGTTAAAGACACCCACAGCTTTGAGCGTCCGACTGTTGACCTGAGATATCCTGGAGAAATTTAAAAAAAAAAAAAAGAGCCTCAAAAATAGGTTTTTGTGTTGAAATCTCGTACATCATCAATTACAACGTGTGAAACGGTATAAATCGACAACATGGAAAGTCTGCTTTCACAAAACGGAAGACGTGCATGCATCCTATAATGGAGTTTCTAAATACAGAATGAACTTAAAATGTCCAGCAATTGAAATTCTAATCCAACAAAAATCTATTGTGCTGTCTTTAGTAATAATTATCCGAGCATTAGGGTGTAGATCTAGGATGGCTAATGGCTAGCTAGCTAGTTGGGGCACCAGCGCCGCCCCTCCCGGTGATAAAAGCACGCCTTAATTTCAGTTTTAAAGGTGCTTCTCAGCAAATAATATTACAGTACTGTTTGTATGCGTAATGGCCTCCTAAAAATTAAAAATATTACAAAGAAAAGATAACCTTTTTTTAGATACCAATAAATTTATTACTTTTCTACATTATTCCATGGGGAGATATTCCTCGTTAGTGGACAGCTAGCTAGGGTGATTAGTTTTGACGGGAGCTTTCGTAAGTCTATTGGACTGCCTACCAAACATGACACTGAAACACCTCCTAGCTAGCAAACATGACCCTGAAATACGCCTCCTAGCTAGCATTACTGAAAATATATTACTATTATTAGTGTTTATTTATCTATTTATTTATTTTTTTGTGCTGAAGATGGATCATTAGCCATCTACATATTGTTACCAGTTTTATTTATATGAAGTTAGCACCCAATTCTTTCCTTATCATCATGGAATTATGCAAGGTTTGATGAATAGATTGAACACTTGATGAAAAAAAAAAATCAATAAAGTCTATATACTCAGGATGAAAGTTTCTTTACAATGTAATTAGTATTTGATCATTAATCAATCTTTTAATTGCCTTTATATATATAAGAGTTTGGGTTTGGGTTTAGTCCTTTCTCTTCTTCCAACATTGGCAGAATTTTATGAGGACAATTATTCTGGTTTAATTTGTAGTTAACAAGAATTTAATTAGGATGTCTGAATTCGGTGGTTATATTTTTGCATGTCTATATACATTGGATGGGGAACATGTTTTGGCCATGCACGAAAATGATTTACCGTACGGGAACCAACAACCTTAAAAAAAAAAAAACAAAACGTAGGGGCCTGGGTCCAAGTTGGTCTAAGTTGAGTAACGCGTCAAGTACCATATTAGGCTCTTCCAGAGAACCCAGGTTTTTTTCACCCTTTTCAATTCTAGTCAAAATCTACGACTGTCGTTTTGCGCTACTATTATTATCATTGATATTTATTTTTTGCAAACGATAATTCCATCTCATAAATTTAGTGGAAATTTTAGTATTTTTGAAATGATGACAAACCCAAATAAGAAAACATTCAGAAGTGTCACACAAGTGGTAATTCAAAAGGGCTTTTTTTTTTTTTTTTTTTTGGTTATATTATGCGCTGTGTCTAGCTAATTACAAACACGAAGAATAAGAGCAAAAGAAATTAACGAAGGAGAGATGATTCTTCTAGTAGCTTTCTGAATGATAGTATACGCTTCGCTGATATTGAACAAACAGGAATTGATAGCTTCAATCAGTAATTTAGCGTCACCTTCTTTCTGATCTGCTATCGCTTTTGAGAAGATTTAAAAAGGGCACCAATCAATATTATTGAAGATACAATCATTTTTGTAACCCAATTTCGGTGCCCTTTATTTTACAACAAATTCAAAAATTTCTAAAAAAATTTCTTATTTTATTCAGATTTTTTTTTCAAAATTTAAGCTTTTTACGAAATTTTATAATTTTTGTAAGTTTTGAGTGATCAGAATAACCGAGCAATAAAAATTGATCGAAAAGAGAATAATCAATGCATTAAATAAATCAAAAAAAGAAGGAGAGTAGAAAAAAAAGATTTAAAAAATCAGTGCATTAAATAAATCAAAAAGTGAAGTTGAGTAGAAAAAAAAGATTTAAAAAATCAAGCAAAAGAGAGAACAAAAAGAATAGTTTTTTTTTTTTAATAAAATAGGGACAATATATATCCTGCAAAATTTTATTGGTAAAAATAAAATTTTCAAGGAAGGTCAATCTAGCTTAACCCAAATATTGATAGGACAAGGAAGGCTAACTCTAGATAAATACATATATAGTGCTATTTTGTATAGCTATAGATTCTAAAAGAGTCATGTTTATAAATATTTTTAGTATCTAAAGGCAAAGCCATATAGTTCATTGGACACCCGCGCTATGGTCAAACAATTGTATATATAAGTTTAACGATTTGTATGATGTAATGTGATTAAAAATCTTATTTTTCATAATTAATGTAAATTGATTTTAGAACATAAAAAATAATAAATAACAAATAGCTGGAGTTATGTGTGTAAATACATAATTAATTTATAACAAAACTAATGCTATATATTTTAATTATTTTATTTAAAAATATTAAATTTAGAATATAGAAAAGAATAAATTATCAATAATTAGTGTTATGTATGTAGATACATAATTAATTTCTAACAAAACTAATTATATGAATATATGTATTTTTTTATATTTTTACTTATTTTTTTTATTCTTTCTCTATTTATTAAAACAAAAAATAGAACCTTTAATATAGCAAAAAGGAAAAAAAATTATCTTTTGAATCAAAAAAACTAATAGTGTTATGTATGCGGATACATAATTAATTTCTAATAAAACTACACACACACACACACACACACACAGAGATATATATATATATATATATATATATAAAGATCATACTTAGTAGATTCAGAATATATAATATAAATAATTTTTTTTAATAACAAACTATTTAAGTTTTATGGAATATACACTAGAAAAAAATAGAATTAGAGATGGTCTAGACCATCGCTAATTAGGCAAAATCCGTCGCTAATTTTAATTAGCGATGGTCCAAAAATCGTCCCTAAAATGCCAATTGCTAAAATTTTACGACGGTTTTTCGATCGTCGCTAATTTAGTGACGGATAAAACCGTCGCAAAATTAGCAAAAACCATAGCAATTTTGTGATGGTTTTAGCGAGGGTTTTAGACCATCACTAATATTCTTCACAAAAAAATTAGCGACGGTTTAGATCGTCGCTAAAATATTATTATTATTTTTTTACCCTTATTTTAAATTAATCAATTGCTAATTCCATCGCAAACAAATTAGTAACGGTCTAGACCGTCGCTAAAATATTATTATTATTTTTTTACCCTCATTTTAAATTAACCAATTGCTAATTCCATCGCTAAAATATTATTATTATTATTATTACCCTCATTTTAAATTAACCAATTCCTAGTTAAAAATCTACAAAATACCTAAAACATGATATTTTAAAATTTCATAATTTTATTATAAAATTTATTAAAATGTAATAAATATTATTCAATTATTAAATTTTGAATAAAATTAATTACTAATTAATTTTTTAATTACTAAATATAATTTACAAAAAAATAATTTTTTAATCACTACTTAATTTCATAATTAATTAACTCCTTTACTTAATCAACAACTAAATAAACTTAATTACTAATTAATTTTTTAATTACTAAATAAAATTTAAAAATTAATTAATTTTTTAATTACTTAACCGCTTTACTTAATCAACAACTAAATAAACTTAATTACTAATTGATTTTTTAATTAATAAATATAATTTCAAAAATTATTAATTTTTTAATGAGTAATTATTTTTGTATTTACTAAAAATTTTAAATATTTCTAACAACTTATTAACAATTTTCTAAAATAATTAACTTTCCAAAATACCATCAATTAAACTAACTAAATTAATAAATAATATTCAACAATAAACTAACTAAATTAACAATTAACAATTAACAATAACAATTAAACTACTAACAATAAAAATTAAATTAACAAAAAAAATTAATAACAATTAAATTTTCTTAACAATTAAAATAACTAAATTAACAATTAGGAATAACAAAAAAATAAAAATTAAATTAAGTAAATAATTGAAAAAAACATTAAAAAATTAATTAAGGAGTACATGAGGGAGGACCTTTCACCAACACAAGGAGGAGAGTGGGCTGAATCGGTGGAGGGGCTTCATCGAACTATTCTGGTCAAAAAATGGCCTGGTTGAGGAAGGGGAAAGAAAGGAAGAAAGAAAGAGGAAAAGAAGGAAGAAAGGGGAGAGGAGGGGAGAAAGTGAAGGAGGAGAGAGAGGAGCAGATTGGAAGGAAAATAAAAAAGAGAGGAGGAAGATTTGACGAAAATGGAAAGGAGATCGACGCTGGAGAAGAAGAAAAAGAAGAGAGAAGAAATTTTTTTCTAGCAAATTTTCGAACAAATTGTTATATAGGGGTTGAAATTTTTAGTGACGGTCTAAAAGCTGTCGCTAAATGTCTAAAAAGGTTAAAAAATAGCCATTTTCCTCTTAATAAGCAATGGTTTAGCAACAGCTTTTAGACCATC